TGGGCGGAAATGTATGGGATCAATGTTGAGATTAAGAATGCTTTTAGTTTGTACGTCACTGATAGGACACTCTTCAAATCCAATACGAGAGTAATCGATCAGCCTTCTTTCATAGTTAACCAGAGTATCTTGCACCAACATACAGCTGACTAGTTCTTTAAACTAAATTAATGTTCTTAGGGTGGAAAATGGGCTTGTTTTACATGATTTTATCCAACTTTCCACCAAAGGGCCAATGCAGATGTAAACCAGCACCAGGATAGAGTAATGTGGGCCAGGATGGGTCATGCCAAGATGGGATCCAAGGTCCGTGCTGTCCCCAGCAGGCTGAGTTCTGGCATGAACCCCCATGGCGTATGAGGCCCACTCTGCTTCCTCAGCGTGGACCTCCTGGTATGGGGTGCAGCCCTCAGTAGATGCTGGCCAGGAGATGTAGCCAGCCTGAGATCTGGATGCTTGGTCATTGCCCTCAGTGGTCTGGGTAATCCATCTTGGGTAGTTCTTGAGAGTTATTCTTAGGACTGTGCCCCTGATTCAATCTCACTCCAATGATAAACCCTGGGATACTATTCGGAATTTTGTGGTATAATGACCGACAGATCGCCCCACCCCTTATGTAGAATGCATTAGCCATGTTATTTTTTAAGCTGGTATGATGGTTAATTTTATGTGTTAACTTGGAAGGTGTTTTTTAACTTGGAAGGTTAATTTAAATGATTAACATTTAAATTAGTGAATCTTGGGTAAAGCAGATTGCCCTCCATAATGTGGGAGGGCCTTGTCCAATCACTTGAAGGCCTGACTAGAACAAAAACTGACCTCCTCGAGCAGCGGGGAATCATTCGTCAGATCGCCTTTGTGCTGGAAGCACACCGTTGGCTCTGCTGGGTCTCCAGCCTGCAGGTTCACGGTGCAGATTTGGGATTTGCCAGCCTCCATAATCATGTGAGCCAAATTCCTTACGATACATCCTGTTCTCTCTTTACATACACATCTTATTGGCTCCATATCTCTGGAGAACACTGAGTAGTATACCTGGAGTAGTGGTGACGGTGGGTCATTTGGGAAAGACGTTGCGGTCTTCATGGAGGGATCTTACGGAGGGATCAGCTGGACTCTAAATATGAGACCACCTTTCCTTTGACTCTTCCTCCATTCCGTTCTGTTTTCCCAGGTCTGATTCTCTCCATAGACGGTGTGGGAAGATCAGTCAGGTGGGCCAAGGTGAAGGGCAGCTCCAGGAAGCTGAGTCTTCACTTAGGCTAAGATGCAGATGTGGTTAAAGGGGTAAGTGAACCAAGGTGAGAACTAGGAGCAGAATCAAGCTTCGAGTCCAAGACTTATGACCTGGGCCATATGCACAAGATGAGGCTGGAGATCAGTCAGGAGCTGAGAAGACAGGATAAGTTGGGAAGCAGCATAAGAGAGAAAAATTTCAAAACTCGGGCTACACACAAACAAGATTGGGCTGAACTCAAATTTATTGTGTGCAAGGAATGTGGGAGAACAGTTTTAAGGCACTGAATTATGTCAGGGTAGCAGAGCAATACATTCAAAGTGCACCTCTACTACCTAGTAGCTCTGTGTGTGACCTTGGTCGAGTCACTTACTATCTTTGTACAAAAGAGGAATAATAAGCCATTTCACAGAGATGCTGTGTGAATTAAGAGACGATGAAGAGTGTTTGACCTAGGACCTCGCACGTGTTGAGGATCTGCTCAATAACATTGGTTCTCTTCTCCCTTTATGAATACGATCAACGCACCACACGTTTTGTTCAATAAAACACTTTGATTCTGAGCCAAGCTCCCCCTTTCTTTTCCAGTAGTTAATGTGTTCTAGTTATAATTAGCCTGCTGATGTGGGGGATAAAAGCCCACTTTGAAACCTTTGTTAATATTACTATATCTCTGTCATCATTTTCTCTGTTAGCCTGGATCACTGGTTTTATTTTAGCCATCTAGATACTACTCTTGGTCCTATTACCAATCCAACTTATGTAAAGGGAAAGTTGATACAGCAATTCTCACTTAGATTCCTGCCTGGGTAAGATTTGTGATACAAAGTTTGAAAAGGAAAGGGGGAGAGAGAGAGAGAGAGAGAGAGAGAGAGAGAGAGAGAGAGAGAGAGCGAGAGAGAGAGGGAGAGAAGGGAGAGAAAAGAGAGAGAGAGAGAGAGAGAGAGAGAGAGAGAGAGAGAAAGGAGAGAGAAGAGAATATAGTTAAGGTCATTCCATTAATGGTCAGAGTTCACATTCCAGTACATGGAAATCATGCCTTGTAGAAGGATATGTAGCAGAGATTGCTATTTTCTAATCTATAACTCATTTTCCCTTTAGTTACAGAATTCAACTTTCTTCAGACTGAAAATGCACGCAGCTATCATGGGGCAACTCTGAGGACAGAGAAACCTCAGCCCTTGATGACTTCATGGCCCTGTCATCCCAGTCTTGCACTACCTACTCCAGATCGCTTTTACATAAGGAAATGTACTCTTCTATGTTTGAGACACAGCGGCTGGATCTCTGCTGCTAGACTATGGATGCAATTAATAATTGGCTCAAAATGATTTCACCTCAATCCACATTTTGCCTCTTCCAACCAACATTCGTCTAGACTGTGGTGGGTCTGAGGATGACTGCGAAGTAGCCTTCAGAAGTTTATTCGAGGGGTATATACAACCATGGTGCCCTGATGTGGCAGATGACATCCTGAGCTGGCTGGAGGAATTTGGGACAGATCGCAGTCAACTGTAATCTATCTAACTCCTTGGGCCAATTAAATGAGTACTGCTTATAGTGGCCACATAGAAAAGAAAGAGTCCTGTTTATTGGGTGGGGTAGACAAAGAAGATAAGAAACTTTCTTCTCATGAATAACTATTGCCCCCAAACCCTTGGTCTCAGATACTCTCACACTTGGGTTGTCTTCTATGAAAGACATGATGTTAGAGACACTTCTACTTGACTGTTACTGTCACTTCTCTACTCCCCGATCTTTGTTGCTTGTTCAAAAGGGCATGTCATAGTGGGGTGGGGGTGGGGGGACTTTAAATCTCAAGGTATCATCGTCTGTACAAACAAGAAGTACATTGATGCAGCCTGACTGGGCTGTCTGGGAAATATCCTTACGGTGATATTTCGTTTTCACTAGATCAAGCCCTCTTTTTAGTGATGGATCTGTCACTGAATTCTGTTGTTTCATCCCTCAAAATCCCTTTTCTTCCAGTTCCCATAGCTGGTACCCTAAAACTAACTCTTGGTACCTCATGTTAGGATTCAGCTTCCTGGCCAGCCTGCCCCTCATGATTTTAATGACAGGCTACTATGCCCGAAAAACTGATGTGCCTTGCTTCATCTAAAATGCTTCTCAATTTCCTGTTACCAACCATATGTTTGTGTTTTTTTTTAAAATTTTAAATTATTGGCTTTATTGTTCTGTCCTGAAATTTTAACATTTACTTAAAACCCTATAACAGAAACAGATATGTAAATCCACTGAGACTGCAGAAACGTTTTCAGACTTTACTCCTTATACATTCTTCTAATTATCCACACAAAACTAACTGCTCATAGAGAAGGTTTTAAGCTATATTAATGATTTTAAAACAAGCACAAAACACTAAAAACAAGAAATCTTCCTTTTTCAGGAGAAATGTTTTATGTTATCCTGTTTAAACATCTCTGGTATCAGTTCTGGGTGAACCAGGTGGGTCTCCTCCTGTACAGCATGGTGGTCTCTACCGTAGCAGCCTTAAAAGGGCCCCCTTCTTGTTTACCATGTTTATTTTAAGGACAGCACAGTCTGTTCCGAAGCAGAATCTCCTACTTCAACACAACACACCCTTATTTTCACATTCTCCTGACTACCGGGAAGCCCTGGCCCTCTTGCTGGGAAGTCATGCTGAGTGATTCCCCTTGCTGTTCCCCTAATCCAAAGCCTAGTCAGCTTTATGGGGTGTGTGTGGCGGCGGGGCCGGGGAGGGGCGGGGGGTTTTGTAGTGGGGGATGGGCTGTGAAGAGGCAGAAGAAAGTAACTGAAACTCTTCATTCAGCTCCATCTCCTTCCTTTTATATTATTCTATTTAATAATTTATATTATTCTATTCAATGGGCCAATAACAGTGTAAAGCTTTCCTGACTTTTATATAGGGAGGAGTCACATGACTCAGGATTTAAAAAAATTGATTCTTATTGGATACAGCTTATTAGACTATAAGACACTGTCCTCTGAGCTGTGGGTTCATGGAAGTCACTCTTAGCATATACACGACTTGACTAGTAGGACTTAGTACTCAAGAAAGTATGAATTTTGGGTTCTAATCCCGATTTATTATCTGTGACCAGGGTAACTTGGTTAAGCTCAGTGAACTCATTAACTGTCACCTGGAGTCGACGACACCTACCCTCGGGGTGACATAAAGATAAATGTATACAAACCCTGTAGCGCAGCCCTGAGCCCATTCTGGAAGGTTCAGTAACACTATTATCTGGCCGCCCTTGGCCTGGCTCAGGCTTGGAGGAGGACTCAAGGTCAGTTCTCTCCGAAAGAAAGGTCACTCGCGGCAGTGGTTTGGGGGTACTGTCCCTACAGCTTTCCAGCACCCAGGACCCGCCTTTCTTGGGGACGCGCTGGTGCGTGACAAGGCCATTCTGGAAAACAGGAGAGTTTGCTCCGGGAAGTTCACCTGACTCGGTCATGGCCCCAAGCCAGCCTCCAGGCAAGGGGCGGGGACGCACGAGCGGACCGGGATTCGGTGCCCTGCCCGGAGCCCAGCGGGGCGGGGCCGCAGTGGGCGGGGCTCGGGACCGTACCATCTCGCACAGGGGGGGTGGCGGATTTCCCTTGGGCGACACGCCGGGAAGCACGGCAGGTGAGCACCGCGGTTCCCGCGGCTCACTGCCAAGTGTCCCTGCGACCCCGGTCCTCGCGTCCCCTGGGCCCAGGGCTCGGGCCGGGCGCGGACGCGGCAGACCCCGGGGCTGTGCACCCCCCGGGTTGGGATCGGCGAGCAGGGGGCGGAGCCTGCGGCGGGCGGAGGTGTCCTTGCGGCGCAGGCCGGGTCGCGGGTTTATAGCGGGCGGTCAGCGTGGTGCGACAGCTCGAACTCCGAGAGGCTTGCGTGTGGCGTCACCATGTTGTCCCGGGCGGCGTGCAGGTGAGGCCCTCGGGGACGCGCTGCTCAGCGGGGACGCGGTCCCGGCCCCAAGGGTGAAGGGGGTGGGCAGCGGGCGGGCGGCAGGGGCCGCGCGGAGGTCGCCTCCGCGGTCCCCGTTCTTTCTCCGCACTCAGCTGCTCTGGGGCTGGGACCCGGAGGTGCCGCGGGGACGCAGGGGGCAGCCCTGCCTGGGGGCAGGTGTCGGTTGAGCGCGTCCAGGTGCTCCCGAGGCGCAGGGTCGCGGCGTTACTTTACTGTTTCAGAGT